CCCATCATCTCAGCCGTTTGCTTCAGAATGTACGATCTTTGGGAACCGGTATCAATAATAGCACGTACAATATGTTCGATATTATTATTTCGCAGTTTAGCGCGTAATGTCTGTAAAAAAACTTGTGGATTTTTGGATATGCCAAGTTACTCTCTTTCGTAGGTTCTTTATTATGCTCACTTCCTTTCGTGACAGTTTCTTTATTAGCGACCTCTGTACACATTAAAATTACATGCCTTTTACTACATCATGCACATTTGGTATTGACGCGACACTTCCTACACGTCCGATTTTCAGGCAATTAAAACAGACTTTTTCTCTTGAGTGCTTCCTGTCGTTCTTCTATACTCGTGTTTCGTGCCTTTTCGCAATTAGCACTCTCATGCTGAGCGCTACAAAATATGCATGTAATATCCTTATTTACTCTCGTCGTAAGTAAATTCGCGGCACTAGGGATGTCTTTATCGGTATCAGCGCGTAGTTTTACTCTTTTCCCTTTATCACTTTCGGATTTTAGATCAAAACCTCTGACTGTCATCGAAATTTTTTCTTCGTTTTCCACTTCGGCTCGAAGAAAATCAATCAGAAGCATCAGTCTATCCTTTGGAACTTCGGCATTCAGCGTTCCCGAACTACTTCGCTGCCATGCCCGCAACAGATCCTCTGGTAAGGAAGATTCCACCAGAAGGAACAACATGGCCACACACTTATCAGTTGTAACGCCAAGCGTCTCGAGTGCCCTCTGGGGGTCGATTGTGTATCTTGAAACCTAGTGAAATTCATAAAAGTGAGCTTTCACTTGATTGGCTAAATTTCACTATAGTAAAAATGTGGTATTTTTCATGTGACATTGCTCGACAAGAACTTAGATGTCGAATTCAGTCAAATTGCGCCGAATTGTGTCGAAATTGCGGAAATTTGCATCGTATTGGTTATAGTATACATCGAGATTAATATAAATAATGGACTTAATTGTTGCATTACTGATGGAAGAGGAGAGAGATATAAATAGACGTCGGCAAAAAATGTAAATATAATAAGGGGAGAAGTTTAAGAGATACACAAAATCCATTTGATGTTTCAGATAACACATTTCTCAAATTATATAGGTACGTATTAGATAAAAGAAAATTATATTTTGTTTTAAATTATAATCGGGCTCTACATATGTACATATGTACATATGTACATATGTACTCGGAAGTCTCGGAACTTTCTACCATTTTCTACAATTAAAGTTATGCTATTCATTCAACCATACTCGCATCTGTAATTTTCACTCTAGTGAGCATAGGGATATCGCATTTTCACTATGCTCATAGCCAATCGCACGTATTTTTTCATGTGAGATGAAAGTACGAGAATAATTTTGGTTCACGCGATAGACAGTTTAATTAAGCGTATTTAAAAAAAAAAAACATTAAGATTTGTTGAAAATTGACTGAGTTATCACGGTCGCCAGTTCGAAAAACGTCGTTTTCCAGAAAACGCGTTTAAAGTTTTAAGGATACTTACCGTGCACTGCAACGCGAAAAACGTGGGAGACACAAAAACGCACACGTGTTTCTCGTACGTTATAAAACTGATTTCACCAGTGTAATTCCCAATAATACAGTGTAAAGAGGCTCCATCTAAAGCCAAAAATAGAAAACCTTGAGTGAAATGGTCGGCGCTACCTGTGCCGCGCGACGCTCGTTACCTGCTTTGACGCGGTCGGCTCGGAGGCTCATAACTTTTGAACCGTTACGAATTTCGATTTGCCCTTTTTAACATGATATTCTAGACAGTTATAGTTATCGAATTCCGCAAAAAAAAATTTTGACCAAAATTTGACCCAACTGACGAGAATGTACCCTTAAGAGATACACAAAATCCATTTGATGTTTCAAATAACACATTTCTCAAATTATATAGGTACGTATTAGATAAAAGAAAATTATATTTTGTTTTAAATTACAATCGGGCTCTACATATGTACATATGTACATATGTACATATGTACTCGGAAGTCTCGGAACTTTCTACCATTTTCTACAATTAAAGTTATGCTATTCATTCAACCATACTCGCATCTGTAATTTTCACTCTAGTGAGCATAGGGATATCGCATTTTCACTATGCTCATAGCCAATCGCACGTATTTTTTCATGTGAGATGAAAGTACGAGAGATGAGGAAAGTCATCAAAGATACACAATCGACTCCCAGGTGTGACTCGATCCTATCATATAACGTTGATAGGTGCGTGTTCTCGTTAGGCTTCATGGCATTTTAAAGAACGAGTTCCAACATTTCTCGTACATAAACTTCTACTTGAAGTTCCTCACGTCCAAATCGATTTTTTAGACTCGAAATTACTTTTTCATAATTCTCTCCAGTCGGTGGAAAACTCTGCACTAATTCGTACGCACGTGATTTTGGTACTTAAGGACGTTCTCCGAAAAATCCATTTTCTTTAGATTTTTCTGAAACTTACAGAATAAGCTTGTTTTAGTGTTCTGAACATATATACTTTGAAGCTCAGTACTCATTGCGGGATTAAAAATCGAGATATTCCACTTCAAAGTTGAAACGTTTAACATAGAATCCCTATCTAAAGCTTATTCGAAAGTG